TCGCATAAATATGCTCCTATCAGTTGCATCGGTTGTATATGTCAGCGTATACTGCCACAGACATAAGATGGCATAAGGAAAAGCGGGTGATGACGATGTGAGATGGCAATTGACGCCAAGAACGTTGCGAAACACAGACGTTAATCAGTTGCTCCATGACATTGTGCAAGTTCTATGCAAGTTTGAGATAATATTTCCTGCAGCTTTCTTTACAAGTATCATCTATGTGATTGTTCACTTACCAGATGAGGCATTGCTTGCCGGACTAGTCAACTTTCGATGGATGTATCCAATAGAAAGGTATATATTCCTTGTCATTTTTATTAATCAATATTAATATCTTACAATTAGTAAAATTTGTATCGTATTGTTTTATTTTGGCAGGATTCTCAGAGACTTGAAGAAAAGTCTACAAAACAAAGCGAAGCCTAATGATCCATTATACAAGCTTGGGTGGCATATGAGGTGCTTACATTTTGTGGAATGTATTTAAAGGATGTTGAGACAACTTTCAATCGTCCTCCTCGCAATAATGATGGGGGTGTGAAAAAGGAGAAACTTTCAGTTTTTGCCCAATTCGCTCGACCATTCAGAGATCCAATACGAGGCGAGTCATTTTCCAAGAAGGACATGGACGTAGCACATTGGTTCGTATTCAACAATTATGACAAGACACTATCATACCTAAACAAGTACGAAAATATGATGAAGCAGGCACATCCTTTGTATTCTATGCCAAGAAACACCGTGAATTGTTTCCGCAATGGTTTCTCAAATATGTAAGTTTGAAGTGTTTTGTATTGGACATATATATTGTACCAATTAATTTGCTTGAACTAACAAATTTAAATGTTTGTCTAATATTAGGTGAATCAATTGAAAGCATCGAATTCCCCGACGTACAATGAAGAGTTATATAACTTAACGTTTGGACCGATTTGTGTTGAATTGTACTTGGGTTTCCATGTCAACGGCGTTAAGTTCTTAGCGGGTGCACGAGATGACAAGTTGTATACACAAAACATCGGTGTTCATGTCCCAGGGGGGAGGCGAAAGTACAGACATTGAGTTCTATGGCAAACTAACAAGTGTCGTGCAATTGCTTAACAAAGACTTGTGCCAAGTGATCCTATTTAAGTGTCAATGGTTTGATACAAACCCAAATAGGCAAGGAAGTGTGAAAAGAGATCATGGATTATATAATACCCTGAAAATTTAAAATATATAAATATGTGGAGTAAATTGAAAATAAATCGATTTATGGTTATGAAAATTGAATTGAGAAATCTTAAAGTTTTGTTTCCGAAAATTATTATAATTTACATCGTAAAAATTTATTGATAAGTGAAAAAGGCGAAAATGCCCTAGTTAACTTAATGTAATTATATGAGGATGTATTTTATCCTTATATATTTTATCAGATTTCTTGATATATTTGGATAGAGCTCGATCCCATGAGCGTGTAGGCAAAAATCGTTCGTGAAACAAAGTTATAACGAATAAGTTATTAACGTTCAAAGTTGGAGGTATTTTAGTAAATTTAACCTTCTTTTCTAGAGGGCTCCAACAAAATCTGGAGCACTGAGGAAGCCACGTGTGTCACCCAGATGAAAGGAAAGGAGAAAAATGGACAATGGAGATGGAAAATAAAGAAGATAAAGGAGGGAGGTAGACGAATGAGATGGGGGGAGAGAAAGGAGAGGGACGCCCAATTAGGAAGCAAAAAAAGGAGAGAAAGGAGAGGAACGCCCAATCAGGAAGCAAAAAAAGGAGAGAAAAGAGGGGGAATGGGTGAATCAAAGAAGGGGGAAAGGAGGGAGAGCATAGCACCGGATCCCCTTCAACCTGTTTTGAAATCGTGACCTGGTTCCTGGCACCATTTTCCAACAAGATTTCATCGGGTTTTGGGCATTTTGTAGCCCTCCACCTCCATAAATCAACCCAAAGATCTCCCATCTTTGTTTCTCCATCAAACCCGAGCTGTTTTGAGCTTTGTTTCACGATAAACTGAAGTCGTCGGCTTCGAGGACACCCGGCAGCAATCCACCCATTTTTGAAATGATTTCCTTCGATCTCCACCACCATTATACTCTCCTAGAGCCCAAGAACAAAGCCCAAAAAACTGTAAGGGCAGTGGAGCACCAGAGGTGACGGATCGAAGCCACCCATTTCTAGGGTTTCTAGCGGGTTTGAGTGAAATGGGAGCTTTTCTCGGCCGAATTGGACCTTGGTCTAGGTATGAAAAATGTTCCTCTCCTTGGGTTGTATGTTCCTGCAAAATTTGGTAATTTTTGGAAATAGTTAAATTTTCCAGCTAGTCGGGGCAGCCGACCGCCACCCGCGGCGGCGTGTGGCCAGTGGGTCAATGCAGTCTTTTTAAGTAGATTTTGATATTTTAAATCCTTAATTGGTACCCATTTGGTGTGATTCGATTGTGAAAACTAATGTTGAATATTTCCGTTATTAGAGTATTTTCGAAAATGGATAAAAGGATGAATGGTGAACTACAAAATACTTGATCCCCCTCAAGGGTATGTAGGCAGTCTAACAGGGTTAGATGCAGCCTTAAATAATTGAGATTAATCTTTCATTGGGAATTTGAATTAAGAAAATAAAATTGGTGATTAATTGAAAAAAAAATAAATCTTATGTTTTGGTATTTAAATTTTGGTTATGGATTTTGAGTGATTAATAAGTTTAAATAAAGAATTGTGATTAATGGTAATTAGATAAACAAGAGTTTAATTTGTCCTATGACGGAAATTGTATTCCGAAACCAATGTTTCGAGGCAGGGCGTTACAGATTACTATCAGTGAACACTACCAACACTTGGTACGATGACGACCCTTACATCTTAGTAACCATGGCAAAACAATTGTGTATCTAGATGACCCTAAAGCCGGGAGGGGTTGGAAAGTTGTTCAGAAGATGGATCATAGGAACATGTATGCTATACCAGAACAAGACCTACTGACAATGACATCGACAATGTTGCTTACCAACGTTTAGAATCGTCGATGGAAAGTGGTGTGGAAACACTCCGAGATACTAATCTTATCCAAGAACCATTTTAGATAGAAGGAGTATCTTCAATCGAAATACCGATTCAATTGATCACAACATGATACGATGGTCCAGTGCACACAAACGATGATGGTGACATACCTATCGATGATGAGGAATGGGACACTGAAAATGATAATAGCGACGAAAGTGAAAGTTATTATAGTTCGGATGAAGATTAAGGCAATTTAATTTGTAACTTTTTTGGCAAAACACATGAAATGGTTAATACCTTATATAGAGTGATGGAAAAAATGGTATGAATGATTCCCATTTTATATGTGAATTACTTTGTAAATAATTTATATCCAATAGTCATATGATTTCTATATGTAATGTGGATGTTTAAAGAGACTGAGAATCACTTTATATGGTCCCTTTTCTTATTACTACCTGTGAAACTATTAAGTAATTATGGTGGAAAATTTTTGTATTTATGTTGCTTAGTACATACACACACACAACTTGCATACATCAACACACACACACACACACACACACAGAGTACATGGAAAATTAGCATACATCAACACACACACACACACCCAAAATCAGCATAGATGGACACACACACACACAGACAGAGTACATACACACACCTATACACACAAAGCACGTACTTACATACAGATGCATACACTCATAGACTATGATTTTGCCTCTAACACAGAGTACATGGAAAATTAGCATACATCAACACACACGCACACACCCAAAATAAGCATACATGGACACACACATACACACAGAGACAGAGTACATACACACACCCATACACACAGAGCACGTACTTACATACAGATGCATACACTCATAGTCTATGATTTTGCCTCTAACTACTCCTTTATGCTAGTTTCTTCTTATAAGTTATAATTGTTGGGTCTGTATCTTATCTGAATTGATTAGTTTGTGTATAATAGATCAATTTTAAGTTTTGTTTCTACCAAACTTGAATTGAGTTTAGAATTAGGGTTTTTAAATTTGGTTTTAAATTTAAGTTGAAATTATTGTGCATGTGTGCAGTAGGTTAAATCTTTGTGTACGAAACAAATTTATTTCCAATTTTGTTGATGTCACAGCTCATTAGAACCCAGAGGGTGATGACTTCTACACCTAATCCGACGACCACTCCTACTACTGCTGCCACTACTCCGGCAGAGATGGACCATAGGTCGGTGAATCCAGTTAACCCAGTTGGTCCTCTAGTCCCACAGATGTCAGCTCATCAAGGTCAGCTACCTGTTAGTGCCCGCGCTGCTTAGTGCCCGACGTGCTCATCGGCACCCCCGCACAACTGACCAGATGTCGCCATCGGGATCCACAACCGATGCCTCAGGTACACGGCCAGGTATACAATCCTAATTTACTCCCTCATTCCCATGTTAACTGAGTATTTTTATTTTAGGTTCAATTTGTTAAGTTATGCCATGTAAGGATTAAAAAGTTGTCATCATTTTGAACCTTTTATTAAACTGTTGTGATCATTGTGTTGGATACGTATATTTTTATGTTATTTTTAGGGTTTTGGGAAATGTTTTAATTATAAGGGAGGTTATGCCAGAATTTTAGTAGGATTTGTTATTAGTTTTGGGTTAATGTTTTTTCTTCATTTGTTTGCAGCAAAGAAAAACACCCGGGGACCTTGTCAGCAATTGAAGACGGCGAAGGTCACCCAGTGACCAACAGTCATATCACAATCAGATATGATGAGCGACATTGGGTAGCACTAACGGCGGAGCAGCATAGTGCATTGGCCAACGACATTGAGCACGTCGTGCGAATGAAATGCCGGAGGAGATGAAGAACACGGTGCACAATCATTGTCAGTAAGTAGCGTCGCCTTTTTAATACTTTTCATGCAAAATTTATATATTTATATTTATTACTGTCTTTTATTACTAATACTTTCATAATATTTGTTACATTGCAGACAAACTACAATTTGGAGGACATGAACGAGGACATGTTGACGTACCTCAATCGGCTCTTCTCCAAACGATACAAGCAGTGGAAGAGTGACCTGCACCAATATTTCGAGCAATTTGATGATTTGCAGGTCGCACTCGAGGAGGGTTGCCCGAAGGAGTTCAAGGACCGATAAGATGGTTAGGTTTGGCTCTATGGTCATTTTTAGGAGCCAAGCTATGTGGTGCGTTTTTAATTACGACTTCTTTCATTTTACTTTTTTTAATTTTTACTAATGTTTATTATTATTTTTTTTATTTTCTTTAAGTATTACAACTAATATGTTTATTTTTTGTATAACAAAATAAGTCAAAGGTGAACAAGATCAATTGGAAGAAGAAGGCTCTTCTCCACCATTCGGGTTCAAGGCCTTTCTTCTATAGGATGGAGGTGCGGCAAAGGGTATATAGTACAGCTTTCATTTCCAATTTTAAAATGTCGCTAATAATTTTTTTTCCTGTTCATACTAATATTTTCCTTATCTTTTTCTATTTCAGGAGGGTTCAAAATTTTCAGAGATCAACGCCTTTGCTGATGTTTATGTTCAGCCTGGGGATGAGTTGACTCAGTCCCTTCATGTAAGTAATTTCTTATGCATTAAAGATTTATACGAATTATTTCAAATTGTTTTCTATTAATAATCCATGTTTTTTTTTTCACAGGCAACTATGGTGGAGAAGGGTCAGTCGGTGCTTCAGGAGTCCACCTCCCAACTTCCCTCAGACATGCCTATTGAGTTTGTGGATCCCCCTGAGGATGCGGGGTTTCACATCCTGCTATAGACGTTGGACTAGACTTTTGGTCGGAGGCCAGGGACATATTGTCGGGGGATGGGAAATGCCAGGCAGTGGGAGAGTGGAGCCTCATCATCCTCGCAGTCAAGGGGCCAGGTTATGGCTTTGACGCAGGAAGTCACTGGTCTGAGTTGAATTATATGGCAGGAATTAATTTTCTGTTATTTCACAAGAATAATATATGTACATCCAGTCCTACGTCCACTAAGAAACATAAAAGGACACAATCTCTAACCTTCCTAATAAAGGACTCCTATAATATCTACATAATCCTTACATACTCTTTATGACTCACGCTAACAAACTCCATGGTGAACTTAGCCTTGTCATACAAGGAAGGCGACGAATAAGTCTCCAAGTGGTTAGCACCGGTGAAGTCCTCCGACAACACTCTGCCCGCTTCGACTGGAGCTTGGCTGACGAAAGTGGCCACCGCTAACGTGAAGATGATAAAATGAGGAGTTGGGGGTGTTGATCTACCAGCTGTGCTTGTGTTTCTGGTAGGAGCTTTTGCCTTCTGGGGGCTGGATGGAAGCGCATGAGAAAGCTTCAAAGTGTTTCGCTTAAATGGGGAGAGTTTGTGTATTAAATGTTGTGGGTTTCTGGTGGGCGTGTGGGGTTTTACGTGTTGACCAAGGAGCTCTGAAAGGTTCCATACATGCGAAAACGAAAACTAATAGGGTAGTGAGGTTCATCTTCATTTGTAAATAAAAGGTCTTAGGTTTAAATCTCGCAAATGGCAAGTTCGTAATCGATTTATTCATGCACTCATTAGTCTAATTATATCTTCATCTAAAAAAGAATACTTATTACACACCGACTATTTTGGTCATCTAAAAAACTTTTGCAGTGGTGAAGGTTTTCTCTTTTTACCCCATTGCGTATTGAGTTCAAAATTTCCTCTTTATCCTCAATGTAACTTAAAATGGTAATATTATTTGGAATACTATATAAAAATAAAAGAAAATACCTTATATCTCAAAAATATCTTATGACTCTAATAATTAAAAGTATTTATCGCTTGACACGTAGTTTTGTGTTTAGTTTCCTTTATCCAAATCTCCTCTCCCTTATCTATAAATACAAAGAAAAAAGTCACAAGGGCGATATGGATCATTTGAAAAATAAACATATTCGTTCTAAAGCAGATCTCTTACAAGATCAATTCGGATTGGCTCGGGTTTGTTTTGGAAAATATGGTTAGAGGGACTATATGCGGAGCAATTAAGTATAAATTGATACTAACTCCTTAGAATTTGGTAACTTCAACTCTGTTAACAACCACTTATGAATCTTTTTTCGGATTACACCCATTATCCTAAGGTTTGGATTGAACTAATCCATTGACACAAATAGTTCATGAAAGAAAATTGAATTATCTGGGCCCTAGAGGATTGACAGGGCGAACAGCTAGCTTTCGTATACGAGATATCCACCCTAGCCACTATGGACGCATTTGCCCCATTGACACGTTTGAAAGAATCAATGTTGGATTTATTGGATCCTTAGCAATTCATGCGAAGATTGGTTATTGGGAGTCTCTAGAAAGTCCGTTTTATAAAATTTCTGGCTCGAATCTTTAATATTTCTCTTATTTATGACCTGTATCTACTATTTAGGCAGCATATCGTCACCCATTGTTACTAAGAAACAGAAGGAAACCTTTCTTTATGTTCTTTAATTTGAATTGAGTGTTTTATTTTTTTGGGCAAAAGTTTGAATTGACTACCTCCCCAATCTGGTGTTCATGGTTTTGAATGGACCGTGCAAGAAAGATTTGAAACAAGTTTTAAGGGAAGCCACCGAGATGCTAGCGGCCACTAAAAGATGAGCATGCCATTCTCAAATTTTGGTCTTACAAATATGTTTTGAGAACAATCTCTGCTTTATTTTGTATTTTTGTATATATTATGTTTTTTTATAAGTTTGAATACACTAAAATAGAAGAGAACTAAAGAACTTTTTTTTTTCATATATATATATTCAGTAACAGTAGTGGTCGTGCAATGTCGATTCATTTAAGCTTTTGATCCAACCCATGTAACAAGCTTTAGGTCAATGACTTCCAAACCACTAAGGCTTTAGGCCACTAGGTGCAGAACACCCCTAAGGACTTATTAGCTCGAGCTGAAAAGGCTACGAAACCAACTAACCACTCTACCCCATGCCAAGACTCTATCGTTTGATTCAAGAATTACTACTGATTAGGCAGGATTGGTCGGTTACTAAACAAGTCTCTGGTGGAACAATTATTACTTTATTTATAACACACACTAAACTTTACTTTATTTCAAACAACAATTAAAAATGAACTTAGACGAATAGTAAGTGATTCAATCTCACTCCCCACAAACCCTATTGGTGTGATGTACAAACTTTTAAAGTATAATTCATGCATTAGTGTCTAAGCAAAAACAAATAGAAAGGACATTAGTATGAGAACTAAAGAATTTAATCAAACATGGGTGTGAATAAATGAGATAAGGCGTGCCTATTTTTTAATTATTATGCTTTTCTTTACGTGTGAGGCTCCACTTGCCACTAGACTGTGCTAAGTGGCACTACCATCCACTCAAAACGTGCCATTTGTTAAACCAAATTTAATCTTGTTCACTTCATCTAACCTAGAAAAACCTTGTTGTTTTTCTTCCACTCATCAAATTCTTTATTTGTTTGAATAAATATATAGCATATATTGTTTATGTGTTGTTTTAGGGTTTATCGAGTGAGAATTGCTAAGAAAGAAAAAGGAGGGTTTTAACTGGTGGGGGTTTGGCGGTTACTTCTCGATCACTTTTTTCAATTAATCATACCGAATAAGCTAAATACGTATAGAAACCCTTCTTCCTTTACTCACTTTTTTCAATTAATCATAAACCCAATAAGTTAGTATGTATAGAAATCCTTCTTCCTTTACTCAGCTATTTTAATTTCCTAAGCTACAAGAGATTGCCATTTTCATTTGTCCCAGGGTCAACATCTTTATAATTTGGATATGAACATTTTTGTGACTTTGACTTAAGATGTCAGAATCCTTCTTATCAGATCAATATTTCTATCTGCCACCTCCACCCCTTCGTCTTTCCGATGGAGGTGCACTGGGGTGGGGTTTGTGTTCCACGTTTTCATCTTGTACCTAAATATTTTTTTGGGTTTTAGGTTAATATTCTGAAACTGTTAAACAATTATTATATTTCATGTTTAACAAATGGCAAGTTTTGAGTGAGTAATAATGTCACTAACTAAAGTCATGTGGTAAATCGATCACCACACAAGTTTTTCTCAAATAAATGAGATAAGGCGTGCGCAAAAATCATTTCCCTATGTAAATTGGGTTTAGAGCAATCCAGATATCAACAAGAAGTGGTAATTTGTGGCAACCTAGAATGGTACTAAATGTTGACTAGAATATGTTAGAATTTTAAATTAAATAATAATTAAGGGGCAATATAAATCGAAACATACACACACACCTCTTATTTCCTCTCAAACCTTGTTAAGTTCTAGATTTTACATACATGAATCAAGAATAATTAAACAATACAAATAAGCAAGAGTGAGCAAAATGAAAAACAAGTATTCGTGAAAATCATTTTCCTGAGCTATACAAGCCCTTTAATAATTTTGAGCTTGAAAAACACAACACAACACTTAACCTTAAACGAGTTTAGATGAAATTTAACATCTCTGTCCATGAAGCGCTCTGGTTTCTCATAGATCTCAAAAGACTTGGGATTCATTTGAAAGCGTTTTTAAAATGACCGAACACTCTTAGCGAAAATGTTTTTGGGTTCTAAAAGCACTTACAGTACTTCCTGCAAAAAGCATTTTAAGTACTTGCAGTAGGCACTTTAAGTGCCTTTTCCATGATTCACTTGCATTTTTACTAAGGATTTGTTCCAAAAAAAATTTCACCAGAAGCGCCTTAAGCATTTCAAAAGCACTTCCAAACAAACTTTTACAAATTAAAGTCTGATTATTATCATTGATCAAAAAACAACTAGAATTAAAGGCTTACAAATTAAAGTTAAACCCCCCATAAATCTCAAAAGACCATGAGATGATGAGATGATGAGATGAGCCAAGCAAACACAAAAGACACGCATTTAATCCATAACCTGTACATTAACAGGTTGTTCCACCTGCATTATCCAGAAAACTGGCTTTGCTGCAGCAGAGTTGAATTACAAGAAGAGCATGAAAATACTATGACAATGAAGCACTCTGATTTGGGTTCGATCTCTAGCTATACAGCGTTAATCTTTCGTCATTTCTGCCTATATAAATGCTAACCAGTTCTCAAAGTAAAACCAACTTCATATTTGCGTTTAAAGAATTCCAATATTGGTACCTGCAGAGAAAATCTTAGAAGTCCTTGGCTTTTCTTCTCAACTCATTAAGCTCCATCTCAATTTCAGAATCTCGAAATGGATATGCCTTGTTACTGGGAGCGGCTGTTCTTCCGGGCGGGAGTTCTCCTTTCTGTAGGATAGAGGGAAAAAACGTCAACAAACCTAGCAGTTGAGAGGCCATTAGGACACATGGTCGGAATTCATCATGTTATGAATTTTTCAACAAAGGGAACAATGAACAGAAATGAGTGGAGGAGCATTAGATTATGGACAAAGCCGTTACCGATTATTTATTCTCCATTTTGGTGCCAAACAACACAATATAGGAAAGAAGAACCATAGCAACCCAGATAAATAGAACGCACGATTCCTCTTAATGCTTCTTTGGTCAACCCAATTGAGCATGATGGAATTACAAGAAAATTAGACACCTAATATGTAACAAATAATGGGGCAGAAACCTTAAGGTTAAGAATCTAGTTCACAGGAATATATCAGCGGAAACTTGGAAGCAGCATCTCGTGAATATATAAATGTCCTGGTCAATATACCATACCTTTGAACTACCAGATAATTCTTTCTTCAAGTTTGCAAGATCATCGTCAACTGAAGAGCCCTCTAGCAACGCAAACTGCAATTTTGGTGTAGGTTAGGAAATGGTAAGAAATCAATTTTCAGAAGGGAAAAAATCAAAAGCATGAATAAATAATATCCTCAGTATTATCCCTTAGGCAGATATAGTATGTGTGCAAAATAATCATCTTAAATTATCACTTCAAAATGGGTAAGTTTCTTTGCTGGGACAGAAGCTCATTTCCATATAGATTATATAGTTAAGGTACAATAGCAAGAATGTAGCTGGTTTGCAGAACATTTGTCAAACATGAGGATCCAATCCTTCTATGTTTACATTTACAAACAAGAGCTGAAGAAATATACAATCAACATCGAATCAATGATTCAAATTTTGAATTGTCCAATGGAAACTATCAATCTTTAATTTCTATTGGCAATTAGTTGTACTCAGCTTGTATATCAAGAACTACTGGTAGATGTTTGGAAAAGTTAAAAAAACAAAGAACCAGTTAATCCTCTTTTCTAAGATCATTTATGATATGTTATAGTTTATAACCGTGTTCTCATGGGTATCTACGTGAATAAAACTTCCTAGCTAATGTGTGTGAATCCATGTGGGCACATGTACGTGTAATTGAAAGAGTTAACAGGATCTGGATAAAAATGGAATCAGCAAAACAAGCTGGAAAGAGTCCTGATGTAATTTCCCATTCGTGTCCCTCCCGGTTCTTCGTAATGCCAAACATCCCACTTTCCAACAACACATCACTATTGCTACATTACTACTGCCAGGCCAGAGAGATCATGCATACATCCCAATTAAATTAAGTGAGACGCTATCCATGTTCCACTTATTGCAGAAACACTACAACATTGTCAATTGTGTCCCAAGAATGAGCAATGTAGATGCACAATAGAAACATTTACAAGCCAAACATCGTAAATCTTCCACTTTGGTTTGACCATTGACGTTGATTCACAAGCATATATCAATCGAACTCCTCATACTTTTGTTGTAAAGGAACTGTACAGGATGCCACTTATAAACGCCATATAATATATAGTGGTTCCTATGATGGTCATGTTCTCTGGGTAGTTCAACAGGATTTCTCTTTTGCAAATGTTTACAGCCTGTTTGGTATCCTATTTGAAAATTTTATCATTTCTCAAAACATTTCTCAAGAACACTTCTTGAAAACAATTTTCTTTAAGATTCAAAAAGGTGATTGGTTTGTGATTTTTAAATCTTACAACTTAAACTAGACAAAGAGATCTAAAAAGAAGGGGTCGCAAGAGAGGGAGAAAGAGGAGAGAGGAGGAAAGAAAGTAAGAGATGATTGAAGGAAAGAGAAAGAAGGGAGAGGATCGAACGATATAGAGAGGAAGAGGAGTGAGAGAAAGAACCAACAGAATGAAGATGGCAGATTGGAGGAGAGACGAAAAAGGTAAAAAAAAGAGGAAAGAGAAAGAAGAAAAGAGAGAGAGATAGATTTGGAGTGGGAGGGGAGAAGGAAGAGAAAAGAAATGAGTGAGTTTAAGTTTAAAAACTTTAAAAACTCACTTTTTATGTTTTTAGAGAATAGACTATATTTTTTAGTTAGTCTTGAGTTCAGTTTTTGAAAATAGTCCTACCAAACAAGTTTTTAAGGCCTAAAACTTGAAAATTATTTTGAGTTTAAAAAGTTGGATTCAAGTAGCGTACCAAACATACCCTTAATCACCTCTCTAAAGTTTTTTTTTATTTTTTATTTTTTATTTTTTATTATTCTTCAATCTTTGGCAACTCAGATCTGGATTTGAAAATTTATTCTAGTTTCTAGGTTCATAATCAAAACAAACAAGAGGGAGAATTTAGAAGAATGGGAAGGTTGCATAAAATTCAAAATTTTCATTTTCATTTAATGGCTAAAACGGATATCAAAAAGTCGAACACCTTTTAGACATGGAAAATTAAGAAATCCCCAATAGCCCAAACGTTTAAACTAATGGCTAAGAGAGGCAACACTCTAAACTAAAGTAGAACTTTTAACAACTTCCTTACCAGTTAATTCTCATGTACAGCCAAAGCAAGCACAAGCATAATAGAAGAGACTTTGGGAAACAGAAGAAAACAAAGGTTTTATACCATGATAATGACCTAATTCATCCCGTAACCATATAGAAAATGGCCCAGACAAATATATGAACTTAATAAACTGACAAGCCTTCCATTTAAAGAATATCAGCCAAATGAAAATCATTGTAATTTTGTCTATCAACACTTGAATGGTAATGGCACCTGCAATAGAGTTTCGAACAATTGCTTTGAGCACTATCTAAACTTAAATGCAGCGAACGTCTAAACATTACTATGTAGGGTATGCATGACATCCATGTTACTTTAGTATGTATTTAAGTCCATGAAGAAATTACAACCACCAAATAATACAGGTAAAAAGTATGTAGGATATGTAGGGTATTCATGTTACTCAAGTGTGCATTTACGTCCGTAAAGAAATTCCAACCACTAATAAGATGGGTGCTCTACTAAAATGACAGAAATTTTGCCACTACTTAAACAGTTCATTGAGCTCATTCTTTGACTTGTTTCCACATCATATTTTTGAACTAAGTTCTGGATTTTATCCTCCCATCCTCACCTGTTCTTATCAATCTGAAGATCATATAGAGTTGTAGAAATACAAGATCTAACATGGCATGGTGCCTAAATAAGCAAGATAAAAGTGTTACCTTTCCTTCCAGATCATCTGTAGTTAACTGACCAAGAGCTTCTGCTTGGGATTCCATTGCTAAGACTATTCAGATGAAAAATGAATAGAAGAATTAATATATACTTGATAAAAATCCACATAAATTAATGTATGGTTTTGTGTGTGTGTGTGTGTGTAATCAAAGATAGACAATCAATATGTAATGTGCGCAACAATGTGACTAGAAGTCAAATCAACTTTGTGCAACGGAAGTTATATACAGAAAACATCCATAATGACAGGAACATGGCTGATAATCTCAAGCCAAGGCAGGAAGGATATGCCTTTATTTAATTAATTAACTGAATCAAAAGTGCTGATAGCTGAAAATGATTTTACTTACATACTCGTGGTTTTCTTTGTATACTAACAACAGAAAAAAGATGTGCTAAAACTGACTATCAAGAAAATCATTTTCTAGGTGGAAGCAGCAAGGCCGAAATGCAATTACAGTAACAGAAATTCTTGCACTGTAGAGGGTAGAAATAAGCACCCTTGGTAAATGCAAAAGACAAATGAAATGGATCAAAAGGGATTGGCAAATTGGGAAGAGCAAAACGCTCAGAATTTAGCACAGTGCTACTACTGGTGAAAGAACAAACATAGGACAGGATCAGAAAGATCGTAATCACATACAAATACCAGGCAGATTTCTTTTTCAGTTTACAAATATTAGGCAAAGTTCACACCATCGTCTAACATCACTTCATCCCAATCTTGAAGGAAGAGATGAACAATCTCTAGTTCTTACATTCAATCAGACTTTGTACCTCTGGACAACTCATGTTGATGACAAAGTCTGATTTCGTCTCTAATCTTACATACCAGGAAACATACATTTAACATGCTCAATCAGGAGACTGGGATGCTGTAAAATAGACGAAACAATGATTTTTTTTCTAAAAATCAAACAATCTTTTGGTACTTGTAAGTTGTAATACTGATTAACAACCAGGAATTCTTTGTATGAACGTGTGTTGTGAATATCTCGTTTACGAATGGAAAAAATAGAACAAACTCGAAATCAAAAACAAAATAATCAAATCAAAAACAAAATAATCAAATAAATAACACCAAAAATTTACATGGGGCAGCAACAACTAACTTTCACTGTGTCAATAATGAGTACAACTAATAACCTTGCCAAGCCTCTAGGATTAAGACTTGACAAAAGAACAAGAACAAGAACAAGAAATACTCTTTATCTCTTTTCTTCTCTCTCACACACACTTTGTCCTCACAATATTCTCTAACTCTTAACTCCTAGAGTGGTATACAACTGATTGTTTTGCTCCAATTCAAAACTAGTGCAATAGCTCCTTTATATAGACAGAATAAAGGCCTTCTTCAATAAGGATTACTAATCCTAATTGGAAATCTAGTTACGAATCCTTCTCCAATTGAGAAACCAACTCCAGTTGAGAAAACAACTCCAATTGGGTAAACAATTTAATCCTCTAAGACTATAATTCCTAATAGACTTACGACAACTCATCATGGGCTGTAAAAACCCAACAATGCGAATAATCAACTATTTGACATATCACATGCTTGCCAATCATGGATTGGGCACATGAACGCTGAGCACATATAAAAGTACAATGTGATGAACTTTCTCTCAATATATTTTAAGCAGACTGTACCCTCAAATATTTAAGTCAACTAGAGTCCAGAAAGGAATTCCATACACAAATCAGTTAATTTTGAAATTATATTTTTCTGATTTAGCAGCCATTTTAGAGCTCGTTTACTTTGGGCATCCAAAGATTTCCTCAGGCGAAACGAAGATCAGCATCAAATGGAAATGCAGAACGGAGCTTCAATAAATCATAAACTATTTCCATTATTGACAGCTGCCTCACCTTTCTCTTCCATCTTATCAAAAGCTGAAAGAGCACTACTTGTATTGACATTCCCCACCATCTCACTCACTTTAGTTGCAGTCCTGAAGCAACAGCATAGCAGCAATTACCAGTAACGTTAAGGGGATACCAGACTCTATTGACCCAGAAATTGAACTGAATTTAAATAAATAAATAAAACAAAGAGATAACAGACTTGGTAAGAAAGGAACGTGAGAATGATAGAATAAACTAACTTTGCAGACTGAGCACGTGCTTTGAGGGTATCTTTTTTCGACCTTGCCTCCTGTATCTTGCTCTCTAAAAGCTACACAAAATAGATTTCATAGAATAATTGATGGGCTTTTCTACACAAAAACAAATGTAATTTAGGTAGTCATTGATGACCTCACTATGAGCAAAATAATTTAAATTCGCTTACCCGTGTATTAGACACAAGATTATCAACAACAGCTTTTTGTTGATCAAGTTGAGATTTCAAAGTATTAGCATTATCCTGAAAACATACAAAGACAATAATGCAATGAAACCTTGGCAGCCTCACGATGAGAGAAAACTAGCTCGTGAATAACAAGGTAATTTTTTAATTAATGGCGTGAGCTCAATTTTCCTAAACACTCCAAATAGAAGTTTTCCTTAATAATGATACACATTTCTCAAAACTAGAAATACTAATATAAAATAACCAAAAAAAAAAAAGTAGAAGCACAATAAACTTACAGCAAAAGATTTACGCCTCTTCAAAGCTTCACGTGCAAGATCCTCCTCTCCTTTTTGAAGAGCTAATTGTGCTTTGCGGTACCTAAGTAACATACACCAGGATTTTAACAATTACTTGCCGCTTTATTTGAGACAATAAGATATCAACCCAATCCACATTACCAGTCCTCAGAAGCTTGTGCAGCAGCTTTGTACTTATTCTCCATCCGCTTTTGAGATGCCAACACCTTCACATGAGAAAGAGAAAAAGACAGAGAATAGGCATCAATGCTAGATGAACATTAAAGCGTAAAATCCAGACCATTTAAAAAATTAAACACAAGCAATGTATAAAAGAGAAAATTATGAGATATCCAAAGTATATCTAGAGCTAACACAGTAGCTATTCGTGGATGATATACTTGCCGTTTCAGTTTGTCATCTACAACAAAATAGGAAAGATGAAAACTAAAAGACATAAGAACAAATGCAAAAGAAAAGGTGAAAAAATCTGCAGAGAACGTGAGGCAATTATAAAATATTGTAGAAGAAAAGAAAAACGAGTCGATCGTGAGACTTTTTTAAACAATTGCACTAAGAAGAAGAAGAAAAAACAAAGAAAACAAGTAAAAGTTTTGGGAACATGAGGCTTACTTGTGCTGTGGCCTGACGCATCTTTGTCAAATCATCATTCATTTCAAGAACTGCTTGCTCTAAGATTTTCTCAGGATCTTCAAAGGTACTTACTAATGCATTTGCATATGACTGCAATTAAAAGAATTAATGTAAGAAGAAAAAGGTACAATCAGTGACCATCACATTATTATTTATTATGTGAATATAGTAATCATTCATAAGATATCACCTTGATAACTCTAGCAAACCGGTCAAATAGGTTCATACGAGCACCAAGAGCCCCCCCACGTTGTCTAGAATAATGTGGTCGACTGGAAGGAGCAACCCTAATCACTTCAACTTTTAGAGCCCCCACTGAAAATAAAATAAATGTAAGCCAAGATCTAATACCTATTCTTAGGTGATTTGCAAGTTTAGTAGAACAGATACTAGAACAAAAACAAAACCTAAAAGATTAGAGTTCAAGGTTATTGCAAAACTCCACAACAGGGTGTGCAAAATGCATTGCTTACAGACCTTAATTGTTGTCCTCCTTTTACTTCTATACCTAAGTAATGTTTGTATCATTAACTCATAGTATGCAATTCATGTATCTTGTTGCACACAACAAACAGGAATTCACCAAGAGAAACACATCCTCAATGACAACAGACATACATAAACCCAACAATAAAGTTCAATGGGCTAACAGAAATTTAGTCAATCACACTTGCATCTAGATGTAATTTTATTTTACTTGCTTTTAGGTTGATAAAACTTGTGGATTAAGAATGAATTTGAAATCAATAAAAAGTAAGACTTTAAACCTAGCATATTCTTAGACTTCGTCAAGCTGTTCACAGTAGAGAGACATAATCATATCCAAATGCAAGCTAGCAGATTTAATTGGACAAAAGGCATTTTTTCAAGAATCACATGTTAAGATTTTGGCAAATAGGACCTTGTTTGACTCAGAGATTTGCAGCGGTAGTGTTTTCCTTTGTAAATAGTTTTTACTTATGCTATCTGAAATACGTCATAATGGATTTCAAAGAACCTTACATCCTTTTCGAAGAGATAGAATGTTATATCCTTTAATATCATTCTCATTTGACTTGAAGAAATGTAATTGTTTTTCTATAAGATAAATAAATTATGTACACGTTCTTTGAGCTTGACCATAAATTAAAAAATATATCTCCTTTACATTTATGTTGGGGAATTGTTATAGCACTTCAGAATAGTCATTTTGCACTCCTCCCACCCTCATCTTTTTCACTATAGAGAAATGCAGGAAGGTTTTTTTTTTCTTTTTGGAGCACCAGTAACAGCTCCCTCTTAAGCTAATCCCTGGTGGATAAAGGTTAGTTCGAAACTTTTGGAGATATCTTGTTAAAATAAACTACTTTTCAGATGTTTCCATGACAGTAGTGTAGCTAGTAAAATGTTTACTTTACTATGAAAGAAGCGCACAAATACATGCCTGCTTGTATTTTCTTATCAGAATTAGCGACTTCATGTCGTCATCAAATCCCACGCGTTGAAGACTTGACGAGAAATTGAGATGGAGCAAGATATCTATGTCATCCTCATATCGTTCTTGCATGGGTCTCAATTGAGAATTTCTAACCAGCTCCTTTTTAAGACAGAAATTTCTTAACAGTTGAAGCTAACGCTTTCCCAATGCAAGGAGTACCGGGTGAGACTAAATGAAGTAGCAATCGACACTTAATGAAAAGAACATACTGTATAAAGAACTGGAAGCCAAATATAGAAAGGGCCCAATTGGAAATTGCACTTCTTTTCATAAGAGCTTCAATTAGAATAACGTCGAAATATATAATCAAATGAAGTGCTTCGGATAAAAAAATAAAAAATAAAAAAAAAGCACCTAGATGCTTCTTCTTGCTTTTCTCTGCCACACATGGTCATAAGCGCTTTTGATTATCAGGAAAACGCTTTCAGCTATTCTAAAATAACTTCCAAACAGGCCCAAAACAAATACCAAACGCAATTGTCTTATCAAAATCTAATTATCTCCCCTATTTCCCCACTACAAGTTCAAGATGGAACCTTTGAAAACAGAAACTCAATTCTCCATGAAATGTTTCCCCATTCCCCACTGAAAGCCAGCCTTAGAAGCAAAGAAAACCCACTCCCCACTTAGCTCAATACACCTATTTGGATTCCCAACCAACCAATAAACAAGTCTCAAAGCATTCAAAGCAAGTTGAAAAACAGAGCAAACGTGCAGATATGGAAGTCCAATTGAAAATCAAAAAGATACCCATTCACTGAAAACTTGAGTAAATCAAAAGGCACACCTCCGCCATTGAAGAAGGAAGTCGTGAGAGGTTTTCTGACCATGGAGAGACTGTTGGAGCTTGAAGAAGAAGCTTGGAACGAAGAGGCAGGCGTCGACGCCATGGTCAATCCTGTAAATATCTGCGATTTTGTGGCCATTCTGAGGGAGAAGTCAGTTGAAATGCTGCAAAATTTTATAGATAGGATTCAACAAGATGATGATCACTTCTCCCTTTTTCTCAATCACCACTTTTATTTTCTCAATTCTTTTCGGCCTTGTGATTTTCCTGCGAGTTGTTTATATTCGGCGGTTTGGGCCGTTAACATATGACCCGCAAATGGTTCCCGTTGTTTCTTCTGAACCAGGCCCGTCCAGTGAAGCCCATCTATCCGGTTTTGGTAACTTTTGTTTGGAAAATATTTTTATACAGTTTTTAACAAAAATAATCTCTGAAATTGAATATCGATACATCTAGTCTCTGAAAATAAAGAAAAACTTTTGTTGAGCTTGACTTGCCATTGAATTTTATTGAATAACATTACAATCCATTCAAAAGTTTTTATCGTATGTTGGGCCTGAAATTTGTTTATTATTGTTGTTTTATGCACATAATTTCTTTTTTAATTATTTGGTGAAATAAATAGATATCGGTCTTCAATCATTTATATTTATGGTATTATAATTTTATTATTTCACAATTAAATGACATCTTGCTGCTTTTGGTAAGTTATCTTGTAAGCTTTTTTGCATTGTGTATTTTGTTTACAAATAATGTTTGGTTTAATTTAGGAAAAATTACACATAAAGTATAATTTTAATGCTTAGTTTTTAAGAGTCTATTTTGTGACAACCTGTCCCAAATTTTACAAGTTTATAAATTTTAAAAACGTGAATTGACGAAAATACCTTGGAGGCGAGGACTTTGACCTTTATTGACCATCGTCTAGAGAAACGTAAGACTTATTCTTTTAGCGTATTGTTGTAGTGCTTGTTAGTATGAATGCATAGGCGAAAGCCGGTTGCAGGTCTGGATTATAATGGTATAGTTACGAGCATTTGAAGTTGTTTTACTAAACTATAGAATTTTAAATTAATAAGAGCTCCCACCATGTGGGAATGGAACCAATCAGATTTCTTTGTTGTTGGTGGGCCAATTAGGCATTGGACCAAGAAAAGAGAAGCTCCCAGCATTCTCTTCCCATGGAGGACACCCGCGACAAGACCCAGTTTCGAACCGATGTGAAATTCTGGCCACTTCCACCATATTTTCAGGTGAAATTCACCCATCCATTACCTGTAACCTCTTTTATAACCTCCCCTCTTCCATTTCCACCCAAAATTAGAAGGAATTTGGTTGAGGTTTGGTGGAAAAACCACCATGGATGCCGCAAGAAAGGTTGCTCGAAATCCACCAAACCTGAAACAATTTCATTCAATTATCACTATCAATATACTTCCCTTGAACTCCTGAACAAAGCCCAATAGGTTTTAGGGGCGGCGGAACGTCGAAGAGGAAGAATTGAAACACACTCTTTATAGGGTTTCCGGCGGATTTTCATGAAACTGAGGTGTTTCTCGGCAAAATTGGCCTTGGCCACAGGTATAAAAGTTATTCCACTCACTGAGATCTCCATTTATATGAAATTTGGTAATTTTTTAAAATAGTTGAATTTTCCAGCGAGTCTGGCCAGCCGACCACCACCTATGGCGGCACATGCGGTGGCGCGTAGCCAGTGGGCCGAAGGTGTCTTCCTAAGTTCAATTAGAGGCCCTGAATTCATAATTGATGTCTATATGCCGTAATTTGATTATTTGAAGTTAGATTCATTATGATACGTTATTTGGTAAAAATATGAATTGACGAACCGACCGTTGGATCATCACTAAATTTTGATATGTTATAATGCATAATATTTTAGGATCATAGGAATTTACGGATAAGGAAACCGACATACGGATCTTCCTGAATTGAATTTGTAAGTTTATAAAATAAATGTTAACCGCCACTTGGTTTTGGGCAATTGGCGGAGATCTGACCGTTGGATCATAATGAAACTTTAGGACGTTGTTCTAGAAACATAATGTGGGTCCTTGGAACTAACAGATCGGAAATTCGTGATGCAGATCTTCCGAGTTGAATTACGTAGAGATGTGTTTTATGTAAACTATGTATTCTATTGATAAAAACTCTGAGATGTGATTTGATAATTGTTCTAGGCGACGATGGTTCGTGATGTCTCGATATGCGTGTTAGGGAGTCGTAGCATGGACCTCAGGTGAGTGAGTCTTTTCCTTTCTATCGTATGTATATAGTATATGTATGTGTGTGTGTGTGTGTGTGTGTGTGTGTGTGTGTGATTGATAGTTCCATAAGGGCGTGTTTGTTTAACCTCGTTAAAGTTCACTGGATTGGACTACTTTGCTAAGACTACTAATCCCGTGTTTGGTGCAAGCTAGACTAAACTTAAATGGGATTAAGTCAGACTCGTTCCAACTAAGAGCTTCGCTAAGTCGTCCTAGTAAGACCCCCCAAAAACCACGAGATTGCTAATCTCGTCTCCAACATCGTTTGCACACCTTTGTCGTCTACAACTCCTGCTCCCTTACCCCTGTGCAAATCTGAAACCCACCCCCCACCCATTGCCTAAATCTCAAAATACAACATCTAAAATTCCCCCAAAACCACATGCACACGAATCTCCAGAACAAATTCAAAACAAAAACCTCAAAATCCAACATCTAAAATTCCCCCAAAAGCACATGCAGACGAATCTCCCGAACAAATCAAAACAAAAACGCAAAATCACCAGAAAATCTCGAGATTTTCTGAGAAAATCAAAGGAGGTGTTGGGTGGTGAGCTCTGATGAATCCTCTGCATAAGGAAAAAAGGGAGAGGTTAGGGAGATAGTGGATGGTGGAAAAGAGGGGATGGGAGTGAGATGGGCAGAGGAAAATAGAGAGATGTATACGGAGAGTGGAAGAGAACTCTAGAAAAATGGTGAACCAGATAAAAAGAGGGAGATGGGAGGGAGAGAGTACCGGAGGAAAGAGGAATGGGTCAGTGATATGCTTGGAAAAAAAAATACTAGCCATTAGATTGTTTCTAGAAACAAGTAAAATGATATATTTATAATAAAATCTTAATAAATAGAGATTAAATAATATAGTATAGATTAATAATAAAATCTTAATAAATAGAGATTAAATAATATAGTATCTAAATTTAATAGTTATCCTGCTTACTAGTCCGATACTGCACCAAACGCTTTACTAAGTCAGTCCAGTTTAGTCTAGTCTAAGCCAGTCCAGCTTAGTCCATGAAGCTAGTCCAGTCTGAGATAGTCTGGTGCAACAAACGCACCCTAAACGTTTATAAATCGATTATTGCTTACGATTACTATGAATGTTTTGAAGTAATTATTGGGAACTACGAATGGCTTGATCCCTATTTAGGGTACGTAGGTAGTCTAACAAGACGTTAGATGCAACCATATAATAAATGAGACTAAATAATTGGGACAATAGCCTTGTTTGGGGAATTGAACAATGTGAGGGACATTGGTGGAAAACATGAGAATTAACCTTATGATTTGGTAGCTAATTGTTGTTCATAAATCAATGTGTGAAGAATCAAGGAATTGAAGTAAGGAAACGTAAGTAATGTTAGTTAATTAAACTAGTGTCTAATTGGGCTTATCACCAATAATTATTCCCGAAAATAAATAGTTTGGAAATGGGACGTTACATATTATGCATTTCACACCATGTTATATATATACTTGAAAATATTATGTTATAGTTGACTTTTAGATTGCATCATGACATATTCATATGTGTATTACCTGAACCTAATTATTGCGAATGCTTCGAAGTGCCAAATGATGTTGCAGATGCCCAGGTAAGCTTCAGGTGAGTACATGTTGATGATAGTGATGGTAGTATGTTGATGAGATATTATAGGTGACTCCGACTTATATGAGCTAGCATATGTGATGAGATATGTAATGAGTTAGCATATATGTAATGAGATGCTAGCATATGTTTATGATGAGATATGTAATGCGATGCTAGCCTATATGTGATGAGATGCTAGCATATATGATGAGATACGTTACTAGCTAGCATGTATGATGAGATGCTAGCATATATTTATGCTGAGCATATATTTATAATGAGATATGTGATGAGATGCTAGCATATATGTAACGATATATGATGAGATGCTAGTATATATATGAGCTAGCATATGTGATGAATTATGTGATGAGAGTTAGCATATGTGATGAAATATGTAATGAGCTAGCATGAGATGTATGATGAGCTAGCATATGTGATGAGATATGGATAGTCGTATAGGTCACTATAGGTGACTCCGACATATGTGCTAGCATGATTGATGAGATATGAGTACAGTCGTACAGGTCACTAGAGGTGACTCCAACTTATGTGCTAGCAATAATTGATGAGATATGAGTACAGTCGTACAAGTCACGTTAGGTGACTCCGGCTGATATATTATTTTATATTGATTAAGTTTATTTGGCCTACTTGTTAATGCATTGTTGAGTTGATGGACATGACATACCCATGGATTTGGGCATTCTTGAGTATGGTTTGGATATATATATATATAGACACACACGGAGTGTTGTCTTATGGAAAACAATATGAGTTTTACAGTGAGCGATTATTACTTTTGGAATGGTAATAGTTCTGGGAAACTTGGTTTCATTGCTCACTCGCACTCTCTATTTTGTGCCCCTCCAGGTTTTAGCTACTGAGTTCATATCGACGAGGATCTGTGGCGAATCTTAGTATTGGTGGCCACCTCTGAGGGTATGATTCTTACCTACACTACTGTACTTTATTTATGCTCTGACATCGCATGTGAAATGGATTTGCTCCCACTCACAACGCACTCTGGTATTTAGACATTTTGAGGTTTAAATTTATTCACATTTTACACAATATCACATTTTTATGGCTTCGTCACCTTCCAGGTGTCGGCCAGCACAGCTCGATTCTTAGTTCAAGTGAACTTTCCGGGTCGGGGTGTGTCATGTTTGGTATCCTACTCAAAAGCTTGAATTGTTTTTAAAACTAACTTTTATTTACATTTCTTGGAAACAGTTTTTTTTTAGGTTTCAAAAATGTGTTTGGCATTGAACTTAAAAACTATTTTTGAATCTAAAAATTTGAAAACTTGTTTGGTTTAACTCTTAAAAACAATTTTTTTTTCAATTATGTATTTGTTTTAAGATATACAAAACATATG